ATAGGTCCTTGGAGGAAGAGGAACATCGTTAAGAGAGAGAGTTGGCACTTCTTCAGTGAAGTGGCCGATAAGAAGAGCTCGAGCATGGTGCACTTTTCATTTGGGCATCAAATTTTGGGACTTCCATTAACCATCTCTCGGCATCTGAGGGAGCAGCATTGGAATCTGAGACATTGTGCATACTTCCTAGTAACAGATGCTCACAGACAATGGCTGTCAACACTGAACACCTCCACATGGCATACCTCGCCAGTAGGTAAGTGCTCAACGGGGATCTGCTCCGACTACCAATTTGCAAGGAAACTGCAATGAAGAATCTCAATTTACAAGCACAAAAATGAATTGAATTTCTCGTGACCCGCATCCATATGGGGGTGAAGAAAATGTGTCGAAATGACAAATCAATGATGAGGCCAGCACAAGAATTGATGATGTGGTCTCTCTGCCAGCCTATGCGACAACAAATGTTGATTGTCATTCCCACTATGGCGGTACTGATAGCATTACTCAGTTTCTGTAAACTGGCTTGTACTACTTCAGCAATTCAGCATTGGCGATGTTGACGGGTGATCCGAATTGAATGGCATCATCATTGTTCCACTCGGTATTTTCTTGTATCGCCCATGAGTCAGCAAGATAGATAACTCCCGTCTTCACCCCAATTTCCACTGAAAAACGCCGCCATGACTTGCCCGAGGAAAAGCGGGAGGGGGCAACGGAGGAGACCAACCAGGGAGGGAGAATACAGGAAGTGAAAGGGCGAGCGGTCTCTAGTCACCCTCACAGCGAGGATTTGGGGTTCAGTAAACAAGTCAAGGGCAGAAGCCTCACACGGGAGGGAAATAAAAGAAACAGTAGCTAGTAGAGAGGTGAGGGTTTAGGGTTTAAACCAGCAGTACATGGCCCCAGGCAACTGGAGAACCTGTTTTGAGCCTCACCGAAAATTTAGGAGGCCGAGCATCATAGATAAAATGAATCGGCGGAGGGCTGCCACCGAAAGGGGCCTGAGGCCGATAGCTGGGATGTGCTGGTGCTTTAAGGAAAAAGGGAGGGGGTAGGAAAAAACAGAACGCCCAGTCACTATACCTGTACTGGGGCAACTTTTGGACCAGATGCAGCGATAATGATTGGGCGTCTTCTTCTTCTTCTTCTTCTTCTTCTTCTTCTTCTCCTTCTTTTTTTTTTTTTTGGGTACCATTGCTCGATTTATGCATGTCATCCTTGAACAGGGGCCATGCTAATCTTCTCTGTATTGTAACTATCGTTACAATTTTAATGGATGTTCTGCAGGCTGAAGGACAGGATGAGCATTTTCCTGCAGCGACATCTCGATAATTATGATGTGCGAGTGATGTTCAACGTAATGATTAAGAGTAGTCCCAATTCCTGTGGTTCTCGGAGGAGATGACCAATCTATGGGGAGGGCCGTGATGATGAGGTGGAGCACGTGATGATGTGGGAGTAGCACATGCATGCAAGCACTGTTCACACTAGTCTTACCTCCACAACATACAAATGAACCGACGTCCTGCTAGTAAGTCCATGTCATTATGTTCCCTCCCGCAGTTAATCGTTCTTGAGCCATAGTCCTGCTGCAATGTCTTCCTTTTTTTCTCTCTGAAAAATGGCGACAGCCTTGAGATATCATCATCGAACTGACCGGCCGCGGGCCCACGTATTTCAGAAATGTCGCATTTCACTCAATGGCATCTCCTTCCACTGGCATTCCAACTCGGGACCCGGTCTGTATTTCAAGTTTTTTTCAACAGTTTCGGGGTGTACCAACTGACCTACTAGGCCAGTTGGTGCAATGTTCTATATTTCAAGACACTCAGTCGTCATCCTACCGCACTCTGAAATCTTTCTCGATGGCTGGCCCCCAGCGTGATCACAAACCTGTGCATGCTGTACGTCTGCCCAGTTCCTTGCATCCTCCACCCCCATTGCAACTAGTAAATGTTCTGCACTTGTTGTAGCATGGCCAGGGAACCAAAAAAAAAAAAAAAAAAAAAAAGAAGCATGGCCAGGGAACCCAGGGAAGAATGATTCCCAAGCAGCAAAAACACTTGCACAACCTTTTGCTGTCTTTTTTGCTGTTCCCCCATCACAGGCATCCTTGTCAAAGTTGTCTTTCAAATTGGTGGAGCAACTTGAGAATCTTGAGATGCTTGGCCAAATGTTTGACTAACAGAGATCAAGAAACAGGATCAAAACGGCAACGAGTTAGCAAGAGCAGAGATACGCAAAGGACTTGAAGTTCATTAACTCGGTAGGCGAGGAGGAGGAGGAGGAGCAGAGATATGCAAAGGACTTTCATGATAGACTCGGTGGAAGAGGAGGAGAATACATTGAGCAACTTAAAGTCACTAATCAAGAGGTGAAGAGGCTTGTCATCAGAATCTCAACAAATGGGCAGAGAAGGACAAAGATCAGCAATGGTGAGAAGTATGTGTGTGTGTACTCAGTCTGCATGCGATAGCGACCATTCACATCTGGACTTCAAGTTTAACTTAGACAACTTAAGACAGAGTTCCTCCCAACGAATAGATCGGAGCCTTGTGTTTTCAATTAAAAAAAAAAAAAAAAAAAAGACTCTGCGAGTCTGCGACCTTGAAGCGAGAAGTAGATGCAATGAGTCATCTTGGAGGGGAAGTGAACATGTTGCCTCAAGGCCAGCCGTTGGGGTATCATAATGACGTTATCGTCCTCTACCAAAGCGACAACCAGACTTCACTGAAACCTACTACAGGCCTCTATTCAGTATATTGCTTGGTGTCTACTGCTGTTAGGTCCACCATTTAGTGGCCCTCTACTAGTGTCCAGTTCCGGCCCACTGGCTATACTTGTCCGAATATCAGTACCCGTCTCTTTGACA